GAGTCAGTGAGTCAGTGAGTGAGTCAGTGAGTGAGTCAGTGAGTGAGTCAGTGAGTGAGTCAGTGAGTGAGTCAGTGAGTGAGTCAGTGAGTCAGTGAGTGAGTCAGTGAGTGAGTCAGTGAGTCAGTGAGTGAGTCAGTGAGTGAGTCAGTGAGTGAGTCAGTGAGTGAGTCAGTGAGTGAGTCAGTGAGTCAGTGAGTCAGTGAGTGAGTCAGTGAGTCAGTGAGTCAGTGAGTGAGTCAGTGAGTCAGTGAGTGAGTCAGTGAGTCAGTGAGTCAGTGAGTCAGTGAGTCAGTGAGTGAGTCAGTGAGTGAGTCAGTGAGTCAGTGAGTGAGTCAGTGAGTGAGTCAGTGAGTGAGTCAGTGAGTCAGTGAGTCAGTGAGTCAGTGAGTCAGTGAGTGAGTCAGTGAGTGAGTCAGTGAGTCAGTGAGTCAGTGAGTGAGTCAGTGAGTGAGTCAGTGAGTGAGTCAGTGAGTCAGTGAGTCAGTGAGTGAGTCAGTGAGTCAGTGAGTCAGTGAGTCAGTGAGTGAGTCAGTGAGTCAGTGAGTCAGTGAGTCAGTGAGTGAGTCAGTGAGTGAGTCAGTGAGTCAGTGAGTCAGTGAGTCAGTGAGTCAGTGAGTGAGTCAGTGAGTGAGTCAGTGAGTCAGTGAGTGAGTCAGTGAGTCAGTGAGTGAGTCAGTGAGTCAGTGAGTCAGTGAGTCAGTGAGTGAGTCAGTGAGTCAGTGAGTGAGTCAGTGAGTCAGTGAGTCAGTGAGTGAGTCAGTGAGTGAGTCAGTGAGTGAGTCAGTGAGTCAGTGAGTGAGTCAGTGAGTGAGTCAGTGAGTGAGTCAGTGAGTGAGTCAGTGAGTGAGTCAGTGAGTGAGTCAGTGAGTCAGTGAGTGAGTCAGTGAGTGAGTCAGTGAGTCAGTGAGTCAGTGAGTCAGTGAGTGAGTCAGTGAGTCAGTGAGTCAGTGAGTCAGTGAGTCAGTGAGTCAGTGAGTGAGTCAGTGAGTCAGTGAGTCAGTGAGTCAGTGAGTGAGTCAGTGAGTCAGTGAGTCAGTGAGTGAGTCAGTGAGTGAGTCAGTGAGTCAGTGAGTCAGTGAGTCAGTGAGTCAGTGAGCGAGTGAGCGAGTGAGCGAGTGAGTCAGTGAGTCAGTGAGTCAGTGAGTCAGTGAGTCAGTGAGTCAGTGAGTCAGTGAGTGAGTCAGTGAGTCAGTGAGTCAGTGAGTGAGTCAGTGAGTCAGTGAGTGAGTCAGTGAGTGAGTCAGTGAGTCAGTGAGTCAGTGAGTCAGTCAGTGAGTCAGTGAGTCAGTGAGTCAGTGAGTCAGTGAGTCAGTCAGTCAGTCAGTGAGTCAGTCAGTCAGTCAGTCAGTGAGTCAGTCAGTCAGTCAGTGAGTGAGTCAGTGAGTGAGTCAGTGAGTGAGTCAGTGAGTGAGTCAGTGAGTGAGTCAGTGAGTGAGTCAGTGAGTGAGTCAGTGAGTGAGTCAGTGAGTGAGTCAGTGAGTGAGTCAGTGAGTGAGTCAGTGAGTCAGTGAGTGAGTCAGTGAGTGAGTCAGTGAGTGAGTCAGTGAGTGAGTCAGTGAGTGAGTGAGTGAGTGAGTGAGTGAGTGAGTGAGTGAGTGAGTGAGTGAGTGGGTGAGTGAGTGGGTGGCTGGGTGAGTCAGTGAGTGAGTCAGTGAGTGAGTCAGTGAGTGAGTCAGTGAGTCAGTGAGTGAGTCTGTCTGAGTGTATATAGTATGTAAAGTTCATACACATGCATGCATGTGTAGCAAGACTTCAGATATATCTTTCGTAAAAAATTAAAATTCAACTGTGGGGTCAGGTGAAGTTGTGGCAAAGCCTGACATGATAAGACTTCATATGACTGGCTACCACATGAATGCTTCGTTGAATGACAATGTAATAAACAATTTTCTTCTCTATACTGCATATGATTAATGATTATGTTTCTTTGTTTGAGAAGCTATACAGGGGGCCCTGTTACTTGTCATTTCATCTTTTGTCACTGAGAATCTGTGGTGCATATTTGATTTTTTTAAGATTTAAAAAAAAATCTAAATATTTGAAAATAATTCACAGCAAGCACTTGCCTGTTTTATATGAACATGTGCAAAAATGATAATACTATTAATAATTTACTCCTCCCTGACAGATGTGTCTATTTGGAATATACACAAATTATTCATGGAAGTTGTTTGTTTAGCCAAAATAAATAATAAATACAGTATCACACAGCATTCTGAGGTATCAGGACTCAAAGATCTTAACCCCATATTGATGGGTCACATGTGAAGCCGTCATAACAAACGGTGTGGTCTGTGGGGTACAGCTATACACAGGGCAACACACTAGAGCGCAACTCCCACGTCCAGCGGCTGGACATTGTTAGAAATCACCAGAGTTTATGACACCAAGAGATTTCTGATACCCATCACTGTGAAGTCAAACACAGAATGCACAATGTTCCTCATCCATCTATCTCAACCACTTGTGATTCCTTCTCAAGGAACCTGTTTGAAAATGAATATGAGATGGATGATGCAAAAGGTGACACGATCCTCCTATTCACCTGTGCATATCTCAACCCTTTCTCCCATCACCTCTGCCACATGCTGGAAGCCACCACTCCAAACTTGTGTCTTGTGAGTAATATTAGATCATTTTTACATCCAACATTTGTAAAATGTAAACAATATGCTTGAGCTAACCACTGGACACTTACAATTCCAAGTCCCCATTGCACCCTTTTATAATGCATTCCTAAGTGATATTGTGTATCGTTACTTATCAAATTATTAGTTGTAGCTGTCTGGTCCATATTAACAAGTAATAGGGAACCTTTACCATGAAAAACATTTTTTGACTACCGCTGCAATCCCAATAAGAGAAGTAGATTAAAAAATCATCTCACAAAAGTTGAAAGAATATTGCACTTATAAACAAATATTCTCCTTTTGATTTCTCTGTACAATCAGTAAAATAAACCTTCCCTTAATCCTCATATTAGAAAAAGAAAATTTTGAATTTAGTATATTCCTGATAAAAATTTCACTGGTGACTACTTCAGGTGACCATATATATAGCTCTCACAATAAAAGACACCACAATGGGATGGTATGCCAAGTCTCTCAATTTCAGGTAATCTTCAGCAGCAAGAAGAACAAGGTTAGGGTATCACCTTCTCTTCAACAATGTCTGCATTTTCATCAGTTAACCAAGTGAAATCAAGCCTTGTTTTTTTACTAAACCCTAGAATAATGACCAAATGTCTGGTGATACATAATCATTACAGACACTGGAGTGATCTTTTCAGAGGAATTAATGTTAAAGTATCTAATGAATTCCCAAGGAACCATATGCTTCTTATTTTCAGATTCAGATTTTTCCAGATTCATGTCTATATGCACAAAAGTAGTGTAACAATGGGAAAATCAAAATGGTTCTTTGCTGAGGAATGGAATTCTGCTGTTATGGTGGCCAAGTAGCTCAATTATTCTATATCCAACAGAAAGTAACAATTCCCTCACTCAGCAATGAAACAGATACATAAGCACCAAATCCCCAACAAAAGAATGAAAGACAGCTATTAATGTTTAAGCTGATTTAATTCCTGATAAGTAACTGTGCAAGAACGATTATGCTTATCTTATCTTATCCTTAATGTTTCCTAATTTACTCATCATAAAAGTACTATGCACAAAAAAATAATAATGTTTAATATTTACTGTTTATTTATACTTTTGCCATTCTTCAAAGGAAAAAATCTATTTCACTGACTGTACAAGCAAATTTACACCCTGAGAAGTAAGTAGATAAATATGATCAAAATAAAAGCATAAATTGCACCCCATATTATATATGTCATTAAAATCAATGAAATCTCTGCAATATGCACACACAAAGGACAGTGCTCACTACGACAGAAAATAATATTCAGTGTTGCAAAAGCCAAAAATGATGATGAAAAAAGTGGAATACCTTTACCACTTCTCAATCCATCACCAAACACAGGAAACAAGTTGAAGAGGAGTGAGTGTTCGATCCTCTCCAGGATCACAGGGATTAGAATTTGTTTTGGTTGCAAGTTTAAACAAACAGGCACAAAACCACCATTAAACAGGGCTTCAAAAACCAAAGTAATTTATCAAGCTTTCCTTTTCAGCAATTGTCAGCTTTTAGATAACCAATTATTTATTCCAAGGGACTTTACATACCCTCTATATGACAAAACCAGCTGTTTTCTCAGATGGCATCCACACAAACAGGCCAAAAATAACTAGCATGACATACCAGTGTAAATAGTCTATCATACACTAATGAAAATAATAAAAATATATTACCGTGTGAGAGTAGTTACGCCTGTTCATAAAACAGTATGGATATTCAAAAATGCATGTAAGTAATAAGTTCAACGTACACAAAATAAAGTAACTTAACCTGATGATAACCTACATAAAAATAAGACAGTATTAAGAAAGGATTTCCTGAAAAAAAAAATTATAATAGTTCTTTGTCAGCATGACTTTTTTACATAAAACACGCTTTGTCTTTGGTAATTATTTCGTTTGTATACTAAAAAGTGAATGTAGAACCTATTTTCTACTCTTAACATCACAGTGCAGTCAACTCCCATCACAAAATTTCGGTCTTCCAGAGTTAGAATATTTCATCATCACAGTTTAAGAGTAATATCATTATATTAACATACTGATGTGACAGAGTAACTTATGAAAAAATGAGACTTAAAATTACTGAAAAAATACGACCATGCAGCCAAGGCAAAATCTACAGAAAATTACAAGAGTGGCATCCCTAGAGCGAAAGCTTCAAAACATGATGAAAATACTTTAATACTGAAATTTGTACAGAAAGAAAAATACTGTGGCCCTTTGTCTTCACATTATGACATGTTAAAATCCATATGAAAGCATGTTTAACCATATCAATATAATAGTGGTGGTAAATACAATCTTCTAAATTTCTAGCATTACCTAAACATTTCATAGTTGTTGTTTTTTATAAAAAAAAAGAACTTTGAGGGCCAATTGCTGCTAATCAAATCATGTAATACAAAAGCAATAAGAATAAACAAGTTCTTTTGCAATTTCTCAAGCAGTACTCTGGCTTTGCTTAAATAAGCCACAATAAAACAAAGTAAAATAGGCTGATTTTTCAAAGGCTGTTAACTACAGAGCCTTTACATATAAACCTCTGTAATATGCATATCAAATAACTGTAATGTAAAGTGTATGTAACTTAATACATTTTATCTATTTTTCTCTAAAGCAAGAAAAATCTCCTTTATCATAATAATGTACAAAAACCATACATATTATGTAAATGATACCAAACTCTCAAAGCTCATGTTTCCATGTGAATATGAGTGTGCATGTGTATCTGTGGGTTTACATGTGGTTACATGTGTGTGTGTGTGTGAGTGTGTGTGTGAGTGTGTGTGTGAGTGTGTGTGTGAGTGTGTGTGTGAGTGTGTGTGAGTGTGTGTGTGAGTGTGTGTGTGAGTGTGTGTGTGAGTGTGTGTGTGAGTGTGTATGTGAGTGTGTGTGTGAATGTGTGTGAATGTGTGTGAATGTGTGTGAATGTGTGTGAGTGTGTGAGTGTGAGAGTGCGAGTGCGAGTGCGAGTGCGAGTGTGAGTGTGAGTGTAAGTGTAAGTGTAAGTGTAAGTGTAAGTGTAAGTGTAAGTGTAAGTGTAAGTGTAAGTGTAAGTGTAAGTGTAAGTGTAAGTGTAAGTGTGAGTGTGAGTGTGAGTGTGAGTGTGAGTGTGAGTGTGAGTGTGAGTGTGAGTGTGAGTGTGAGCGTGAGTGTGAGAGTGCGAGTACAAGTGTGCATGCGAATGTGCACTTGCGTGTGCATGTGTCCACTCGTGTGTATATGTGTATCTCTACTGGTTTATTTATATTTGTTTACTTGCCAGTGTACATTTAGTTGTTTGTGTATGAATTTGTATGTGTAAGCTATCATGAGAACCAATGTTTGTCTGTGACCAGTGAAGAGTTCATCATAGGCTACAAATTGGTTTCACAACCAAGTCTTGTCTCCCTACTCTCACATTTTTTGTACTTGTTGTATGCCAGCTATACAGTTGTATAAAATAAAGCTATTTAGAAAATGAGTGGGAAAAAAATATTTACTAATGAATGATAGAACAGGGTGAATAACTTATCATTCACACAAATAACCACCAAAGAAAAACTATATGATTGTGTCTTACGTACAGAACATTATCTCAAAAAGGAATATAGTAAAACTTTAAAAAGCCCTTGAATTTTTCTGAGATGACAGGTAAACAAACAAGACAAGATCTATTGTTAATAGTTCTGAGAGCTGTAGTGACATCTACACACCTGCTTAATGAGGAGAGGGTAGGACTGCTAATTTTCAAGCATGCAAAGGGTGGTTTGCCATTTCCAAATAAACTTTCATTTTTATGATATAGAATTAGAATACTCACTGTATGCTAGAATGACGGAGAAGCCATTCCCAACTGGTATAGTTAAGATGCTGACTGTTTCACGTACAGTATTTATACAGTTACCCATTTACTATCAGCTGTGCTCATTCTGTATAATAATGTTAAAAGTCAAAAACTAAAATTTGAATGACTTAACTTTATCTGCATCTTTTAAGTCAAGGACATCATTTTGTATTGAATCTTATTCACTTTTTCCTAATTTTGTAACATGTATAAAGTAAATAGAAACAAATGAAGCTTAAGATAAACTACAATATGCAGTAAATTATGGTTTGTATTAGTATTACTTGTTCTGTTTAGTTTATATTTGGTACAGAGCAATCCTGAACAGATTTCACTTGGAAACAATGCTGTTTTAGTTAGCCATGTGTGATACTTGTTTAATATTTTCAACTGCTTCTTAAAAGTCCTGCTGCTTTAAAACCATTTATATTTCATATACACTATTCTTAACATTACATAAAAGAATTTGCCTATCTATAAACTTTGACCACACAATGTGGATAGATGAACTTTGTTTATGATCCAACAATCAACTTGGCTTTGGAAGAGTGGTATGGCTTCTCTGACACTGGCATACAGCGACTTAAGTTGAAGCATGATTATTAACTATACATGATGTGTTAGTATGATGCAGTAAGGACAAAAGATATGCAACACACATGGGTATCACCAGAAAAACTAAATTACATGAAAATTGCACCTTGTATTCCATAAATATGTAGATTTACCACATCTGAGCTTTTTCAGGAGCCTAACCCCCGTGTTGGGGTTGGCTTAACTGGACTGCAATGAGGAAAACAATTTCTTTTTTCAGTTTCTCCATCTTCATTAATTCACAATTAACTATTCCAAGTGAATATTCTCTTCTGAAGATTTTCTAGATTCAAGGATATTTGCAAGCCACAATTAAAAGCTATACGAAATATTGATGACTATTTATCTTCATCGTCTGTCCCCTCATCTTGGTGAGCTTCAACTGGGTTTGCCACATCAAGACCTCCTGCTCCTTCAGCATTCAAGCCATTTTCCTCCACTTGATCTAATGATCCCTCCACTGGTTCTGCTCTTGAACTAGAGGCAGATCTTTCCCTAACACGACCTGCACCTAATCCTTCACCTGCCCCTTCTGGCGCATTTATACTACCTGCACGCTCCATTCCCATGTTGTGTCCATCCGGTGCAGCTGCATCACCTCCAGATTCCTCTCCATGATGTGGTCTAATTGGAGCGACTGCATGGTCAACTCCTCTTATTCTAGGACGGTTCTCAGATCCAACTTGAGCAGGGGTCTCAAAGTGCACACAGTGGAACACCTATGGATAATTGTGAAGTTAGTTCATATGACAAATATCCATAAGCTTTCACAGGACTAGCATTCCCATTTCAGGGATTCTTCTCTTGTATCTTTGTAATAGTTTTTCAGATATTTTAAGTAGTATTGAGCATTTAGTATTTAGTATTTAAGAGGTCTGATAAAAAGAAGAAAAATTTCAAATGTTTGTGACATGTTTTATCTGTAATATATCCTAAAATCACTATTCACTTCCACTGTAGGTAATGCACTTTATTTAAACATTTTGGCTAATCAGAGTAAACACTTACTTCCAATCAGAAGAAACATGTATCAAAGAACTAATAAAGAAACATAGAAACTGTTAACTTCAAAATCAACTTTCTCACTGAATTAACAACTCTTATTTACTTCATTGGCTGTGTTAAAAATCATATCAACAACTCTTCTTACCTCATTGGCTGTGTTAAAAGTCCCAACAATTTTGAAGTAAACAACAGCTCTTGGAGGAAAAGTCAGAGTCTGCCAAGACCTGCAGGCTTCCCGGGTCTTGTCAACAATCAGCTCCCAGTCTCTCATGTTAACAGAAGCTTCAATGTAATAGCTGTAGGAACGATCATCACAATCCCAAAGCAACAATCTGGAAAGGATTTATCTTACATAAATCTAGTTTAATATACCATACTCCTGGAATTTTCCAGGAGGTTCTCAATAGAAATGTTTAGAGTTTTCCATAAAAATGTCAAGCTTTGTGAGTAATACAATACTTCAGATTCAGATATGAAATATGAGGAAGAACATAAAGACAAACAAAATCCTTTATTTAAATTGATAAGTTTAGATTAAAATTACTCAACACAAAATGATTACGTAAGAAAGTAGCAACACAGTAAGTGGCTCTACTGCATAACAGAGGAGAAGCAGCATTTGCTTTTGCCACTGCTTTTCCCACTATTACAAGTTGATATTAGCCATTACTTCTCAGGTCCATATTGCACCCTGAGGAAAGTTTGTCATATTGTTATCCTTCCTTCTATCCACTGAATATTTGTGAATTTAATATTACATTCTCCAGGAATGCAAATTTACAACTGCCACCCTGTAAAAGTAACATTAACAGACAGACCTAGGTGAAGAAATTTTTTTTAAAAACTCTACACTCTGGAGATTAATGGCAACGCGCCGACTTTGAGTGCAGGAGTTCGGTACATCAAGCCAAACCACCAGCTCGTAGCGCTTTGGCACATCACCGCATCGTACAGCTGCACTCCACAGATCAAGTAGTTTAAGCCAAACCATTGGCTCACCAGACTGTATTATAAGCACAAGAATAAGGAAACTACCAAAACCAGGTTCTTTCTTGGGAGGAACAAGGGTATAACTATGGATGCAGGTAATTAGCACCAGTTAAACCTTATGGACTTTTGCTTGTTTCAATCTTGCATATGGCATTTGATAATAACACTGTGCACAGATATGAGTTTGTGCTTGTCTAAAGAACACTTTTATACCATTATCAGAAAAAATGAAAATCACAATGATTTATGAAGAAATATTTTGTGAATTTTTTTCTTCAAAAATGTGAGTTTTGTGTACATTTATATATGAAATATGCTTTCCATCAAGACTCCCTGGTACTATGTTGTGACTTATGTAAGGGTCTATATGTGAACTGAGTATGAAGCACTAATGTTAAAAAATAAAACTATAACTAATGATAATATTTCAGTTTGGATTCTCTCTAACAGTCATTACCATCCACC